GAAAAGTGTTGGTATATCTAAGGGGTTGTGACGTACGATGTATTCTATCTACAACACGTGAAATCATGAATAATGGATTAAATTTAAGTATTTTATGTCGTACATAATGAAAATATTATAAAAAACCTTTTATACAATTTTCGAAAATTGGCCTTGGTTGGCGACTACTATTTCGAATAAAAATAGCATATAAGATGGAAGGCTATGTCGCGTCCCCTGTAGATATACGAGCCCTACCCACTGGCAGCTATTGTTTGACAGGTCATTGGAATGCCTAATAAAGAAATGCTAAAAGAGTCGATTGGAATTAAAAGTGTGTATGGAGCTTGAATAAAAGACCGCAGCTAGTGCTGTCACCTGTCACGGAATGGGTAAAATCCATAGATATATAACCAAGACAGATAGGATTGTTTACAAAATTTCTGAAGCCTAAACGTTGGCGTCCGTGACAGAAATACAATATTCTGATTGAATATTGATACCAAGTTAACGGTGTTTTTAACAATAGTAATGTAAATATATTATGTTTGTTTTTAAATCATCGGAAGAAATTTTATGTCTGGCAACAGTGCATTTACGTTTGACGATATTTGTATAAAGAGTTGTAAATTTGTTTCATTTATAAAAGTGTGTTTGGTTGATTGCAGCTATTATTTTGTGAAAACTGTTTTTTTGATTATTTATGTGATTAACTAGGGCATATCTATTATCATCATGGTTCAACAGTGTTTTCTTTGTAAAAAACGGACTCTTTATGTGTTAATCTTTCGTTCCACAGGTAAGTTGATTTTTTAGGTTATGTTTATGAATATGAATGTTGTTATAGACCTCATAAGCGCAGAAAAATTATTTCAAAACGTATTTAGGTACAGTGTTTTATTTGCAGATTTATAGGTAAAATGTTAAGTTAAATTATAATTGTAAAGAAACTGACAAGCAGCGGTAATTTTTTTACAACGATGTCTGATTTTTATGATTCTTTTTTGTTAGAAAGGGACCTCAGGGGTGGAGTCCCATAAACAATTGGTCAGGATCTGATGATCTATGAGAAAATCAAAAAACTCAATTTTTAAGGGCATCTGTACGATTTTGAAGTCGGTTTTTTAAAATTACTTTCATAACTTGTTTATTTATTTTTGCAGAGGTAGCCATTAAAAGATTTTCAATTATTATTGGAATATTAGATTTTATATCTTCAATCAGGCGGCCAAATAAATTGCAAGTGAAACTGACTTGTTTTATAATAAAGCTAGTAGGTATTCAAATTATTCATATTTTCAATAATAAATACTGAGTATAAATATAACAACACCTGTAGGTACTGCTTTTAAGAAATAATAATATATCTGGAAATTATTTTCAAGTTTACAGCTAGAGGGCGCAGCTCTCATTATCACTGATAGAAACTCGTTTACAAAAAAGTCAAATTTATGAAGAACATTTTAAAATCATATACAGAAATAAAATTTTACTCAGTTTTGACTATTCACTCGTTTATCATTGTTATATGCATTTTGAAATCTAGCGGTGAACTCAAAACTTCGAAATTGACAATTTTTCCTCAAATTCTACGGCGCATAGTTTCTCAGATATCCTATAGTCAATAACAACCGGCTTCCTTTCTTATTTGGACACCAAGTATAAATTATTAAATATTCCCCTTTACGACTGATACCTACGCCTATGGATATGTTCAATGCAGTCAGCAGGCGATGACGCGCTGTTGCCGTGTTGCCAGCAGAATCGGTTTTCTCACTCAGATTCAGAGATGGAATGATTTGGGTCTTGCCTTCACAACAAGTACACTTTTACAATGCTAGTTAAGGATGTGGTAAAATCATTAGCGCACTTCATTTACGCCTATTTACTTCTCTACTCTGAAGTGCGCAGCCCGAACTCATCCATTTTTATTTCACGATTGCCGGCTTAGAGTAGCGTCGGTTATGCTTAAACCACAGCTTATACAATACAGCTCCACAACTCCGTGTCGGCGTCTTTGATCTGGCGGTCGAGAACCAAGCAAGACGGAATGGTGCTATCTCTGTTAGATTCAAGGGAAAAGTCGGGCCCGGATTAAACAATTTTTTTATTATTGAAAAAATTGAAAACCTTGGCGTAATAAGGTTGGTCACATGCCATATTAAGTAAGTTTTGAGAAATTACATTTTTAATTTGTTTTAAATCTTTCAAATATAATTAAAAAAATTATTTAAATATAAATATTACGAAAAATAGCACATCTTTCGGATTAGAGGTAAAATAATTTATATATGGCTAGTAAAATCCTCGTTAACAAATGTTTTGAGCTAAAACAGTCACTTCACGACAAATTGTGGCTTGGATCCATTTTACACCAAGGGCTTCAATTGTTAAAGAATTGTGTCACGCTCGTGGATGCAATTCAAGTGGTACCCCCGTGTCTCTGGCAAGTGTTACTCTTCGCGCAAAGGGTTTATACCTAGATAAACGAATGCTTCGACTGGGAACTCTATGGTATTTTGGAATTATAAAGAATGTGTGCTTTTGTTTTAACAATATTTAGATGTATTCTTATTATTTGAAATACAGATTTGTAGAAGTTATACTTTGACAGTTTTTATTAATATAATATATTCAATTTTTATCTGACCATACCGAAGTAGGAAATTTTAAAACTTTATAGTAATGTGAAATTTGAATTACAATATTACAAGATATAACATAATTAGTACTTATTTTAGGTAGGTACTAAATTTGTACTTGGAGAAAGTAATATCGATTTTTACAAGAAAACTTGAAAAGTAAATTAATTTAATTCCTATTTCTGATGTAAAACTTAAACCAAGAAAACAAATAAATTGTAGTTTGTTCAACAAGGGTGGATATGATAGCCATATCACACAAAGACGAAGTTTGAGCACGACGTCGTAGGCGGAGAACTCAATCGTCTGATTGTGATATGAACAATCTACTCGATATGGTCAGTATATTTTTTCTACGACCCACTAACGAAAATCTACAAATTTAAAAAATTATTTTAGGTTATTTAGACAAAATAACTAATTTTAAAATAATTTACGAAGTTGACTAATTTATAAAATAAAATAAACATGAAAAATTAATTAGTCCTCGGCCTAGATTCGATCCCGGACTTTTCGCGTGGAAGGCAGATGCTCTGTCTTCATCTTCACCGAAACTTTCAGGACTTTAGTTTTAATACTCGTAATTAAATTAATATCATGTAGTTTAATTAAAATTTATTTTTTTTTAAATGTGGACACAATAGAAACAAAAATGCTATTATTTATCGAGTCTGCACAAAAATTTTAATGTATATTTAATATCAATAACTAAAATATATATTGCCAATTAGTTTAACAGAATTGTCACTTATTTAAAAAATTTTAAATAATAGGAGTTGGGTGACCAAAATATGAACTGTGATTTGTAGATTTAATTTTGTTAAAGTGTTCTTACTACCTAAAATGGATATGAAATATATTCGTAGTTGAACACAATAACATACTTTTTCGTTTTGTAGTATGTGCGTAGATTGGCTAATATCCATGCACAGATTACAAAACGAAAAAGTATGCTATTGCCTTCAATTGAACGAATATATTTCATATCCATTCTAGGTAGTGAGAACACTGCAAAAAAAATAAATTCGCCAATCACCGTTCATATTTTGATCAACCGACTGCTATTATTTTTAAAATTTTAAATAAATGACAATTCTGTCAAACTAATTGTCAGTATATTTTTTAGTTATTGAGATTAAACATACAATAAAATAAGTTATTCTTTTGGAAAACGTTAGCATGGATGACTAAAGGGTATTGGGTTAATTAATTCTAAAAGTGTGGTACAAATGTTATTTTTTGTAGCCAATTCTTCAAAATTATTTTAAAATATCTTTTCAATATTGAATATTAGTTCTACAAATTCATCATTTGACAGTTGCAGATTTCCAAATGTATCTGAATTGGCGTTATCATATGCCTTTAAAAAGCAATAAAAAGAAAAATCATCTATTTCAACGTGATCTTTGTTATATTTAAGACAGGTATCGCAGGAGTGGATCCGCAAGGCTTTTATTAAAAGGTAACCACACACATACCTGATAAAAATTTTCTGTAGCAATTCGTCTTTACAATAATTTAGGGTGTTAATAATTTCATCATAAAATAAAATACAAGGTGTTCCATTTAAAAAACATACATTTTAATTTGCCAGGCAAAAACGTGACACAGTGTATATCCAAAGATATTTTTAAAATATGTAGGTATTTTTCAAATCCATATAACTTTTATTTAAAACTTTCTTGCGTGTCTACAACAAAATAATGAACAATAACGCACTAATGGGACACCCTGTATAAATTATATTTTTAACAATGAAAATTTCTTATAATGTGGTACTTATCGGTTTGGGTCCTTGGGAAAACTAAAGAATGTTTTCTTGCAGGTATAACCCTTATTAAAACAGCTTTTGACTGCACAAACAGAATGATGTCTTTTTTTTCATTCATTCTACTCCCAGCTAAAGAGTCACCAAAATAATAACAGTACCTTTAACTCAAACAAAATCTACGAAATTATAGGCTCCACGAAATTATACAATCAACGAAATTATACGCACGACTCAACACCTTACCTAAGTACACTTCTGAACGCCAAAACCGTCTTTTCCCTTCGAAGGCGGAGCTTAAGCGATGCGCGATGAAATCGACGCAAACCGTTGCCGCCAAGAGAGTGTTTTAGCTGTATTGTATAAGCTGTGCTTAAACGTTATTGGTTTCATGCTGACTTCGCTTTGTAAAGGCGATGGAAATTTACGTGAGATTCGAAAATTATCAATACTTTGTTAAATTTAAAATATGCGACAGGGACGGTTTATGTTTTAGAATTCCTAAGTAAATACGATAGGATGGTCCTATTCAAACATCTTTGTAAATTATAAAATTACTATGGATTATTCAAAAAAATATATAATTACTATAATAAAATCATTATACTTACAATACATAACAAATAACTCCTACAGACCACATATCAGTCCCATATCCAATGTCATCAAAATTTACTACTTCGGGAGCTACAAATTCAGGTGTACCGAAGAGAACCTGTAGTTTTTTGCTTGGGTCAAATTTTCTAGCAAGACCAAAATCGATTATTTTGATCCTGTTGCCTGTCTTTGTGAGACATAGAATATTTTCAGGCTGAAAATAAAAATAATTTATTAAGTAGACATATTTGATTTAAAATAGATTTTATTGAAGTAATTTATTAATTATTTGGAAACATATATACGCTGTCCGAAGTTTGAATTAGTCACAAATTTTTTGGAATTTATTTAATTTTCTATAAATATATACGGTTGATTATTAAAAGTTCAACTCGTATGAATAGTTGGGAAGCGAGTATGTTTACCCCTCTCTACTCAAAATAATCGAGAATGCGAACTATCACCATAATTTCCAAAAACCAGAGAGTACCTACCTTTTTTAACAGATCAAAAGGATCATTATCTTTCCTGGGGCCGGCACTATTAACAGCAGTCGTGTGAAAATAATAGATCAGTTTCCAGCGTTTCAGTTCCGCCGTAAAAAATCTATAAGGTAGGCTTTTTTGTTATATAAAAAAATAGCCCGTTTTTTTATTGAAAAAAAAAATAAATTGTAGATTCTTCGTTGAGTTGAATTTAATATTAAAAATTTCTATATTAAACATGAAAACTTTTCTTGGATTAGCATCGTTAAGGTGGGAACACATTAGGCAATTGCAGTCTCGCCGCAACGCGAGCTGTGCTAGTCTCGAGTGCGCACAGTGAAGTTCTTTCCCATATTTTATAACGCATGCATTTCCACTTTGTGTTCTCTCTCGCATTGCAATCTCCTTCTAGCTTTTCCATAGAATCTCAGGAGACCGCGTACGCTCGAAACTAGCACACGGATCGCGATGCGACGCTACCCCGATTGCCTAATGCGTTCTGAGTAGTTCTGACGTTTAATGCGTATTCGATCAGTGCGAAGTCATGATAGGGGAAGCAAAAGTGATACTTGCGCTAGCTGCGGTTAATTCGTGCATTTTAGGCCGATATTTTGTAATTTTGGCATATCAAATACAGGTATAAATTTTATTTATTTATTTTTTTTTTTTAAAGTAGGTAAAAACAATACAATAAGCAACCGGAGTTGCTGTATTGTAAATTGTAAAAATAGTACCAAAAAAAAGAGTGTAAATTATTGAAATTTTCAGTAGCAAAGTAGAAATTAAATCAAAGAAATAAATGGATAGGTTTACAATAAGAAGAAAAATTGCCTTTATTTTTGTAATAATAACAGTAATACTGGAAATAGTAGACATCAGAAACTTGAAAGGTTTTAAATAAACAATAAATTATCATTTTACGATGTTCTTCAACATCCCTTTAATCTTAAATGTTTAGCAAGAACTAGATTTCTGCCTTTGATTATTGTATGTGGCCGGAATGCGATTTTGTGACTTATTGAGGAAACCAGTTTTAATCATTTATTCTTTCGAACAAAAATGAAAATATAAATAATAATCTTTCTGTTCATACGTTTAACTTCACGCTATTATTTAATAGTATTTTTTTATTTTGACAGAATAAGTTAAATCCTCAAATACAACTTATTAGACCTAGGCAACTTCTCATACATTTTCCCGTAAATACTGTTGCCTGCCTATATTTTATTATTGATTTTTATTGATTATACTTATTTTTTTTTTAGTTTAAGCAATAAAAATATGTAATAATAATAAATTAATGTTTTACTTATTTTACAAATCCATATAATTTTATTAAAACTAACATATATACTTCTTAATTACGAATTCTATTAAAAATTGTATTGTCAGTATACGCAAAAATAGTCCATTAGTACATAAATTGATTGGCGCTGCTGTCACGCACGGAGCGCATACATATCGATACCGACGATGATTTTATTTGTACACATTGTGGGCAAGTCGGGTAATTTTAAATAATGCGATTTAATTAAAAATTTATTACCGACATAAAATTTGTTTGTTGTGGGTCAAGATAAGAGCCGCTTAATTGTGCCGCTCATCAAATTGCTACTGGGAATTCAGGTAGTTTCCGAGGTTGCAGAATAGCGTTCTTTTTCTGTAGGTTTATTTCTGAACTAAATTTATTTATGTTTTTAAATATCTATCGATTATTTTTTATTAATAGATAATTCATCGATTATTTTTTATTAATGGATTATTTATCGATTATTTTTGTTTAATCGATTATTTTCGATTAATCGATAAGTTGTCGATCATATATCACTAGAGTACAGCAATTTAGTTATAGTTGTAGTGTTTAAAAACAGTATGATATTAGAGATATATTGCAAGTTTACTTAAGATCAGTCACTATAAGCGCCGCTCTTATTTTGACATCTCAGCATGCGCAGATCGTTTACGTTCTAGAACTGACTTTATTAAAGATTGTGCTTGTTCTTAAATTGTGGATATAAAGCTAAAATTTTTCAAAAATAATGAATGGTTGTTCTCTCGCGACGTCACAAAAATGTGTTTTGCCAACTACGGAAGCATCTCTATAGCATGGGGCTGGTAGAACCCGCACTCTACAGGGGATGCAAACATGAAGATGAGACCATCGAGCATATCCTCTACGATTGCCCGATGCTCTCATTTATTAAAAGATTTGTGTTCGGCGAGAATTGGCTAACACCGGCCGATATAAGGAGGTGCCTATCTACTTAGGAGGATGCACAATGGGTCTAGTGAGGCCTAAGTCTTTAACGTCTTAATAAAAAAACTTAAATATTTTAGAAAATATTTTATATCTCTTTCGAATATAAGGAAGGAATATTATATCAAGTTAATTTTTCTCCTTCCAAAATTTTCAACATTTATAAGTATTTTATTTTGTCGCTTAGAAGTAAAGTGGGAACAACTAATACGAATTAGAAGGTAATAAAATAACAAAAGTTTTTAAATCGATATAGCCGTAAAATTTACCTTTAAACTGTATTTCATTCACCTTATTGTTTAAGTATTGGAGTGTCAAGTCATATTTTGTTATCTGGCTCTCCTGACAAATGAGTTACAACCTTTTTCGATGAGGATGTTGATTATAAATATATCCCGAGACCCTAACTTTCCTAGCTACGGTACTGGAATTTAATGCAAACTTCGAACCGCTAATTATTACGAATTGTAATCGAAATGGAATCCGGATTCAACTCGCAGTGCTTCTTACCTTCATATCTAAATGTAGTATTCTCTGTTTGTGTATAAAGTCGACTCCCTCGCATATCTGCCTCATAAAAACGGTGCAACTTTTCTCAGTCAAAATAAAATCGTCGTCGATGACCCTCTCGAATAGCTCACCGCCTTCAATCCTGAAATAATAAAAATTTCCATCGTCGTTATTTTTACTCGTCTTCTCAAAATACAGTATGTTACACATTCAGTGCCAGAGCCGAACTGGTTAAAAACAAATCAGATCGAATTGCAAATTGTTCTCCATGTAATATCGTTTAAAAGTATTTTTTTATAATGTAACAAGTAGGTAACAAAAGGGTAGGACAAGTTATACCAAAATAGTAAGACCTATATAGGTACTGTGAACGACTATGTACGCCGCTGACCGTAAAAATCACAAGTGGATGTTATGGTTTTCTGGAATAATTCTGAGTCTCGAAGGATGAGTCAGGATGATATTTTGTCTGTAACACTTGAAAAAGGGACATGCATACCGCATACCTGACTTCGTTGAGACATTTTGTGTATAATATTGTGATCATTTCGCTTTTGGTCTGTGGCCGTTTTACCATAAAATTTTGCTTAAAATTGGATATCAGTGTTTTATTTTCTTGATTTACAAAATCAACCCCGAGAAATAGTTTACATCAGAAGTCGGATATTAAAAAATCGGGAGAGTAAAAAAAAACATTATTTTTTGTTGTGTGTCTTCATTGTTATTATTATACCATGGGTAAAAGAAATTGTAAGAAAAGTGATGGTGTATCAAAGAAATATACGAAAAAGCGTCGTTCTACTGTTAGGTCTAGATCAAGTTCTAGTTCCTCTAGATCTAGTTCTTCCATTTGTAGATCTCTCGGTTCGAGATCTAGGTCACCAATGATACCTCCATTGCCTCCGCCCTCACCAACTTTGCAGAATGCAGGTTTGATAAATTTTCTTAATAACTTCAAATCTGATCACCATCGTTCAAAATTCGGGATGTCCTTTAAAGATAGTAACAACTTTTAATCCATTACACGATGATATTCATGAATGGCTGTCAAAACTTGATGTACATATTCTAGCATTTATAAATAGGACGTTACTAATTATATGTCATTTAGCAATAAACAAATTATATGGTTTTGCTGTACAAAAGCTTGCCAACGTGTCCCAAAAATTGGTCAGAGGGGAAAACTTTGTTATTAGATACTTTTCCGTCATCTCGCGATCTACACACCCTAATGACCAAAATGCTGGCATTACGCCCCAAATCAAAACAAAGTCTCTTTGAATATTGTTTCGAAAAGTTAGCTTTAATTCGAAAAATAAATTTAAATTTGAGAGGTTCTAACGAAGTAAATCCAATTGTTGGTGGTTTAGATAAACAATTTATTATATTTTCGGTGCGCTCTGCGAATATATGTAATCCCTCAAAACTTAAAGACATATTACACTGTTAGTGCACCTGATGACAAAAACCAAGTTGATTTTAGTCCTGAACATGTTGCGGGCTATTCAAGAAATTCCCGTTTTTCCTAACGTTCTGTCGAACACTTTATGCCTCAAAATAAACCGATTATTTGTTTTAATTGTAATCAAGTAGGACACAAACAAGCATTTTCTCCAGTAAATATTTAGCTAAAAAGTGTGCAGTGTCATTATTGTCGAAATAAGCGACATACTATTGAACAGTGTTATAAAAGAAATAAAAGCTATTCAGGTTTTCCACAGTCTTGCGCAATAAGTGCATCAAGATTATAATCTGAACCGTCGAGACTAACCACTCTAGATAGGTTGGTCTCTGAGTTCTGTTATGGCCGTCGAGATAATATCTCTGTGGAAAAAAAATGGCTACCGTCGAGATTATGCTCTTTGCTAGAAAGTACCGTCGAGTACAGCTCTGTGTACCATCATTGTACTGTCGAGTGTATCTCTGTGTACCAAGATTGTACCATCGAGTATAGCTCTGTGTACCACGATTGTACCGTCGAGTATAGCTCGGTGTACCAAGATTGTACCATCGAGTATAGCTCCGTGTACGATCATTGTACCATCGAGTATAGCTCTGTCTACCACGATTGTACCGTCGAGTATAGCTCTGTGTACCATGATTGTTCCGTCGAGTATAGCTCTGTGTACCCTAATTGTGCCGTCGAGTATAGCTCTGTGTATCATGATTGTACCGTCGAATATAGCTCTGTGTATCACAATTGTACCGTCGAGTATAACACTATTTACCACCATTAAACTGTTGAGTATGTGTACCATGATTGTACCGTCGAGTATACCTCTAAGTACTATCATTGTATCGTCGAGTATAGCTCTGAATGCCATCGAAACAAGTCTCTAGCAAAGTCAATATTTGTTTACTAATGTTTTTGTTTGTTACAGCATTATTCAGTCAGGATGGCCGAATGTGAACGGCTATGTACGCCGCTGACCGTAAAAATCACAAGTGGATGTCATGGTTTTCTGGAATAATGCGTCGAAGAATAGACGACCTTATTATTTCAGGATGATATGTTAGTCTTTAACACTTGAAAAAGGGACACGCATGCCTGACTTCGTTGAGACAGTTTGTGTTTATATGTGATCATTTTGCTTTTTAGTCTGTGGCCGTTTTACCATAAAATCTTACTAAAAATTGGATATCGGATTTCTTGATTTACAAATAGTTTACATATATATAATATTTTCTCCAATAACTCGGAAGCTGTTAAACAATTTATCATGAAAATAGATATCTGTTTTTATATTAAGCGCAACTCTACAAGAAAAAATTACGAGAGTAGTACATCCCATAGAATTTTTATTGGGTTTGTGATCCCCTAGATCCTCTACTTATATAACTGCAGAAATAGGTTATTAGGTTATTCTTGTGACGCCATTGGTCAATACATTGATTTTGACATATTTTTGATCTTGGTTATTTCTTAAAAAAATTATTTTTTTCGAATTACTGCAACTTTCTCAGTCCGTACTCACAAAACGCGTAAAGTAATAATTTTTTACCAAAAATAAATATTAAGATGGTTATTTTTAAAAATTTAGATTACATTTCTAACAGAAAGGCTTGCTATGCTTCTTAAAAGACATGCATTTTTTAATTCGACAAAATATGTAGTTTCTACAAAACGGCAACACATTACAGTGACCAAGTAAGAGAATATATTTTTTGACAGTACCCTGGATATTGGATTAGAATAGGCCCAGGTGCATTTATTTATTTGCCACTCAGAGGCCCATACTTTAACCCCCTTGAAATTAGTTTTTGGAGTGTTATGTGTTGTATAAACGAACAAATATTGTGCAACAACCGAACGCACCAAAAATGTCAATTGGCAACATTGATGTTGGAGGTTAGATATGAAAAAAAGGCGAGTCTTGGCACGTCATTGAATAGAGGTTTTTCTTTGTATCTGTAAGATGTTCAATAAAGTGTTCATAAAAGCTATGGTGTTTGATGAGTACTAATCCTAGGGCAAATATACAACATTATGAAAGAAAAGGTGAACGTGAACTGTCTAGAATATGTTGGATCCCCGAAAATGTTCTGACGGAGGTGCCTGGAATATTAGAGAACGCCACATATGCATATAAATAAACTAAGTTAAGTCTAGTTCAGATATCATTCTGTTAAAAAAAATAGACCAATAATAGCGGAGATACACGCTGAGACCCTTTTGGCATTGTCACTGCGCAGGATTTTTCTATTCATCAATAATCTATATACGTTCACGTAAGCGATGGTTGCTATCTTGAATCGCTTAGCCGAGTAGCAAACCACTTAGCCGAGTTTCAATTGTCTACAAATGATAGGTGGCACCATATAGCGGCTACTTTAGAAGTACTGCGCCAGAAATCATTTTATCTACTAATCTCCTTATAGATATCAAAGGTTTCTTGGCACCACTTTAATGAGCACAAAACTACGCAACCTTTGTTGAATGTAACCACCTTTCTATCGGTTACCGTTTAAGAAATAGTAGAGACCCCATATACCTTTATGTGTTATAAAAAATGGGCAAACGAAGTAATGCCAAAATATTATTTATAAGTCCCTAAGGATTCTGAGGATTTCCCTTTTTTTTAAATTTCGAGTCCAACGAGGCGGATGAGAATTTTTAGGCCCGAGAAGTTGTGGTAAAGGTTTCCTAAAAATGCAATATTTTTTGTGAAAAACAACCAAATAAAAATAGTCCACCTTTTCGTTATCTAAGCAGAAAACGCTGAAAACTAACCGTCCTTCTTGAATGTTTATAATTTACTGACTTTCTGTTTTACACCTTTGTTATCGTTATTTTTTTTAATATTATTTGGAGAACGTATAAAAGTTTCTAACCACATATTTTTGTACGCATGGTAATACTGATGGTAAGCCATAGATCATAGCGATAATACAACACTGTAGTATTGTCACTTATTAGGAACAAAATTCAGTCCATCCAATTCCCAATTGGTCAAAACAACATCACGTGACACATGAATTATATTCTCAATGCTATAGATTATGTTTTAGAATATTTGAAATACATAACATTTTTTTTTTATATTTGGCTAGATATATTACGATCCAGTCAGTAAAAGCGAAGGTCAACGTCTCGTTAGAGAGTTGCCAGTAGCCTCACAGGTTAAATTTTGACGTAGAAAATGCACTGGCCTAAATACTTTTGCTGATTTACTGGGGACCGGAATTTTTGAAACGATGCAGATATGTTGACATCATTTTCAGACCGAAAAACAGTGGTGTATTTGTTTCATTAATGTTTTTTTTAATGTTTCCAGTTTTCAGAAAACAGTAAAAATATTTATGTTTTGAAATTAAATATACGTAGGACGTAGGTATTATACCAGTTGTACAATATTTACTAAAACACTAAGAATTAAAAACCTCAGTTTATTGTAAGAAATTTTTAAATACAGAGTCCAGAGATTAGGGACATAAAGATTGGAAACGCAACGACCCCAGCAACGATGGCGTCATCTAGCGTATTAGATGTTAACTACAGGTCTACGTCGTTTGTAGAGAGACCAGTGTTGTCAAATATTTTTTTTGAGAGATCGTACAAGTAGAGTAGAAAAATAGTATGTCGACAAAAAAATTGTACAATAAATACATGCATAGCATAATATAACTTAAATGGATTGAAAA